AATAACCGGATATATGCGACTTTTTTCCATTGAAGGATTATTTTTTTATTTACTTTTTTACTCTTGCTTCGAGGCATACAAACTGTAAATTGATTTTTATGCTAAGGTTAGTTGCTTTTAAATAATTCATGTAACGTTTTTGCATGTGATTAACTAGGTGCTACCCAGGATTTGTTTACCACCTTAGACATTTTCTGTCTGCTCTGAGTCTGCTTATCTTTCAACCATGGATTCAAACTCCTACTTTTTGCTGTCCTATCATAACGTCAGAATTGCAAGGATTTTCGAAATGTTTTCCCTTTAAGTGCGTTTTGCAATTCCACGTTCCATAGCATTTTTTTTTCAGCGATATTTAATGAATACCAAGTATTTTTTTTTTGTTTCTACTGTGTTCGTCACTTAGTGTAGCTGTACAGCTATTGGATACTTGCAAGCAACGTCAAGCGTGGATCTGCCAATAACGCTCGACACAAACGTGTGACGTCACTTGCAAGTATCCAATTAAATCTGATCCGATAATGGAATCAGCGTGACAATAAATTCAAGCCTTAAGGCCAACACGCCGTGCATAACCACGCAATTAGACACAACCACGTGATCTGTTGCAAGTATCCAATAGAGGCTCCGTTGCGTTGCGTCAAAGTATTGCAGACTATTTACCACGAGTTTTGATATGTATCTAACCCGTGTCTTGTTGATGTGAACTAACACCAAATTCCTTCTTTTGTTTTCCTGGCTGCTTCTCTACATAACCTTCCTGCCAACCTTCTCCGTTGAATCGCACATGAAAACATTTTCTATAGGTTTCCATATTTAATCTCGCCGTGGGCTTATTGGGCTTTGGAAACATCCCCGCCTTTAAAACCATGAGAACTCTCAGGGCTTTGCGGCCCTTAAGAGCGTTATCTCGCCTGGAGGGGATGAGAGTAAGTAATACTGAAAACACAGTTGTCATTGGCTGGTGCGTTGCTGCTGGTAGAAAGAGTATATTTATATACCCCTATACCTCCTCTCACGTCGCATTGTGTCTTTGCTGTTTTTTGAGAGTTTAAGATCAAATACTCCCCTGTAATTCAATCAGACTGCGAGACTAAGTTTTTTTTTAGGCCATCACCCGAATTATGCATTTTCACTTCCCTGTGAAACAATTAAACTAAAGCAATATTTTTTTAAGTTATACATACTTAATTATAATTAAATAGACAACGCAAATCTTTTTGCATAAAAATGGTTTATCTGTTTGTTAAGTTTTTAAAAAGAAACATACAGGCGTGTTAGTATTTGTGCTAATTTTTTTTATTTAATTTTTATATTTTAATGAATTTTTACATATTGAGGAACGTTTATCGGTGTTTTTAATATGTATTTTGTTAAAAAAAATTTTGATCTGTGTAGTAGATATTTTTTAAATCATTTTTGTGAATTCAAAATTTGCTCAAATCCCGATCATTAAAAATTCTGTTAAATTTCCATTTCTTTTGAGCCGTCAGACAATAAAATCATGCATTAACGCCACATGCAACAGAACCAAAAATTTAACTTTTAATTTGATTGATTTCTTTAAAGACATTGACGAATTTTCTAATTACACAATATTGTATTAAAAATTATTATGATTCTACTCCTCATAAAAAAATATACATAATACTCCAATTTTTTGTGGCCTTATGACTGCTCTCAACCACCACAGTAAAGGAACATCCTAATCTTACAGTATTGCACAATGGTATTCAATTAAGCCGTTGTCCCTTGTAGATGCATAAAATTCAACGTAATATTTTTCAAATTATGATTAAGTGTGGTAGTGTTTTACCTTTCTAAAACAGAATAGTTTTTTTTTCATTATCTGGAGTATTATGCCCAAAAAAATAATTCCGATCAGTGTAACAACTATGTATTTGTGATCATTATGAAATTAATGATCTCAAAGAGATGATTTTTTTTAATCGTTTCCTCGATATTCAGTCGTAATGTGGATCACATTGACTTCTTCTAAATTATAGATTTATTTATTGCTTACAAATCAAATATTACTCAAACTTAAAATTCGTCATCATACAAGAATTCATTTCAGCAATAGTTTTAACTACAGCTATATCCAGTAATCAACAATTTCTTCGAGGAATTGCTTCGCAGTAATGAAAATTCGTTATACAGATGTTATGCATTTTCCAATTTTTAGGGTTTTCAAGACCTAACTAGCTAACTTAAGCTTGTAAAGTAAAAAACGATGCGATGAATTATTTTTATCATTTAATTTTAAGGTTTCTTTTTTAAATGAATTTTTACCGTCGAATAAATAATTTCATTTTCCATCCCGTACATTTTTTGTTTAAATTCTAAATTACTTTAAGTTATTTTAAATTATTAAAATTGAGACAGTGATTTTGTTCCTATTACACAGAGAAATAGTAAAATTATTGAGAGAGTAGAAGCAGATTTTTTTTTTTTTTTCAATTTATGACATGTTCTTTGACAAACATTTTCCTTTGTTGAAGTTGCATTTTTACATTTTAAAATACACAATTGCTGAATTTGCATAGGATAGAAATAAAAAAATAGCATTCTAGAGGAAAAAAACTTCATCTAAATGAGAAAAATTAATAATTCATAAGTAAATTAAATTAACAGCATCTTTATTTTTTTAATATTAAAAAACTCGATAAATATAGTATTTTCTTGACTTTAATTTTGTTATATATACTTTGATTTTTTTTTTGTTACAAATTTTTCTTAACTGTAACCTATTTCAGAAATACTGGGGAAAAAATTTACACAATGCTAATAATTGAAAAAAAAAACTAATAGTAACTAATAAATAAAATTTATTTTAAATAAGCATAACTGTCAAGAAAATGTATCTAAACCTCCTATTTTTCAATTTCATGAGTGATTTTAAATCTAGCGTAAATACTTAAATATTGAGAAGACACATTCTATTATTTTAAATATATTGAAACGGAACTTAAAAACATTAGTCCTGCTATTTAAAAAATATACGAATTTTTTTTTAATTATTGCCATTCTATGTGTCCCACGATCGAAAATATTTTTGTGATTGTTTCTCACCCAAATAAATGTTGATGCTTCGTGCAACTGACATAAAATTATAGAAACAACACGAAACAATACAGCTGGTCTTACACTCTCAAACAGCAAAACAGTCCTTGTCGGCGATGTGTTGTTTGCTCTTGTGATCGTCTTGTCAATGTAGAAATCTGAATTCTATTTTTACAGCATCTTGGTGAAATTTGTAGAAAAAAAGGAATAAGGGTATGGAAGATCGTAGACATCCCACTTAAACTTAGCAAGTTGAAGTTATGAAAATACATCCCCTTTTTTTATGAACTAGATAGATTCTTAAAAAACTATAAACTAGGTAGAAAGCATGTAAGAGTGCTAGATTTAAACGAAGTCTTTTGAAGATTTAAATGTGAGTGAAGTCATATTCATAGTCAAGGTCATAATCTTTAAGCAAAAATGCGTCTAATACTACCCTAATTTTATCTAAATTTACGAAACTATCAAAAAAAAATTTCTATTCTTAACACGTTATTTTGAAGTAATTATTTTTTTTTAAAAGTAATTATTTTCAAGTAATTATCTTTTTTTAAAACAAGTTCCTAACTGAAAAGTAAATTTAACCGAATATTTGTTTTTTATGCCAGGCTCTAAAGTATCATGATAAAATTATCAAAAAATCAAATGTTGCCACATTTATCAAATTTTACCACATATAATAAAACCATATTTTAATGTTAATTTTACCAAAATCATATTCAAAATGCTTCGGTAAAAATTACCAAGCCTTTTGGTGTTTCCAAAGAGCCAGAAACACGGTAAATTTAACCATATTCTGGTAGTTTTGACTATACTTTTTTTCAGAGTAATTGAATAATTTGATTGTTGTGGGTATTTCTTCAAAAGACTTCATTACATTCTGCACAAAATTATTTAGGAACACAAACCCCTATATTACACTCACGGCACAAATTAGAAGTTCTTATTAGAAATAATTAGTCATATTACACTTATTTTTATACACTTTAAAAACAGTCACCGAAACTAAATCCGGTTTTTAAAAATATATTTAAACCAAGAGACACTTCGGTAAATTGCAAATTTAAACGAATGGTTGAAATAGTCAAGAAAAGAAGGAAAATGGCCCGAGTAAGTATATAAGGGAGTGAGTATTCAAATATGAAAATACGTTTAAGCGTTGCTAATATAATCCAAAAAAGACGCGCAACAATCAAAAACCTTTTATTAAATAATAATACTCTCATGAAGCTATTTTTACAAATAGCAATATTACAGAATGAATAATAATATTATTTCGTTAATAGTATGAATAAAAGTATAACTTATTGAACAATTTTCTTGATTAAACGTAAAGAAAGATTTCTGTATGGTGATCTGCGAAAGAATGATCGCCAAGTCTTGACAACTTCCAAACAGCAACTCGCGAGTAACTGAAATAAAACATACACAAAGGGACTAACTCGAAAGGAAATAACTCGTAGACAACCCCGGGAAATTCTCCACATGTTTTTTTTTTCTTTCTTTTTTTTAAAAAAAATTGCAAGTTTAAAATTCATTTGACATCTTGGCGGTTTTAGTTGGTGAAACAGATCACTATACGGAAATATCCCCAACAGCAATATTACTTAATAAGTGGTAGGAATATTATTAATACTTAAAGGGTGTTAATAAATACGTAGCAATGGTAGACAATTATGCAGTATTTGAATCTTATAACATAATTTTTTCCATAACATAACATTTAAAATCACAGCAGGCAATGAATTTATTACAAAATGCCAACCATATAATTATTATCTTGCACGGACTTCTCTAAACGTTTAAACGTATTTCCTAAACTGTAAATTAATATGATGTTCCAGTTTTGCCGAGATCATTATTTTCTCCCTTTGTTGATTATTGTCCTGAAAATTAGTTCACCCTTTACGTGTTCTTCAAATGTGAACTTAACATTGTAGGTGTCTCTGATCAATCTATTAGCTTCTGAAGTTGGGGGAGGAAATATACAAGCCTTCAAGACCATGCGTACACTTCGTGCTCTGAGGCCATTAAGAGCACTTTCGCGATTTCAAGGAATGCGGGTGAGTGCCGAGAGACAGTTGGCAACCCCCTATTAGAAAAAAAAAAAAGAAACACCCGTTGTAGCTGGGGCTACCTGTCTCGCGAGCACAAAATAAAGACACTGCATGATATTAGCATCTATTTATTTTCATTTATTTTTCACCTATTTTTAATCTTTCATTTACATCATCAGTTATTTCTTTTTACTCTTCTTTTTTCTCTCTATGAATTTCTCTTCATTAATTTCTTTCTATCTATACAAACTTTTAATTTTGTTACCTCTCAAGTGACATTCATTAACGACACATGATTTAACTGACTTAATTATCTGTGATATTTCAAGACAAACAATTCAGTTATTATGTCCGTTGCAAATTTAGGAAATTAAAGTTGGATACCTGCAAGTGACGTCATAGAAGGTAAATCATGGCATTTGTTGATTCTGAAACCAATCAATATCGACACACGGATGACGTCACTTACAGGTATCCAATCAAATCTGATTAGGCAAATTCACTTCACTTCGTTGCGAGTTGCATAAGTGCAATTACATAAGTGTAACTTTAAAGCAAGAAAAACTTCTCAACTAGTTTACTCATGTAAAGTCATTACTGTGTATTTAAATAAACAGAACTTGTTACCTAATGCGTATATTTGTCTGGGAGTTTTTTAATATTGAGCAGAATGGAATAGTTTTTAATTAAAAAAGTAAAATAAAATGGCTATTTAAATAGATGTGCTGATAATGAATTCTAAACAACAGTCTAAAATCATATTATTTTCATTGGATGCCCAAAATATTCCTATCCAAGCCCGCAATAACACCAATACTTGTTCTTCAAAATGCTCGAAAAACCTCATTTTCTTATTTCCAAATACCAATAACATAATAGGTCAAAGATGAAAAGACATTCTGCCATAATCCCATAAAATCTTTGTTCGTAATAACGTCTTCAGAACTTTTTTAATCCAGAGACATTATTATCTCTTAATATCTCGATCACATTTCCGTCAATAATTCATAACATCAGTCTCGGCAAGATTTCGAAAGATATATAGATTTTAAACCTATTTTATAACATAAAACAAAGTTTTTGTGATGAAAAAAAGTGAATAATTTTCAAAAAATTTAGCAAAGAAAAACTTAAAAAAATTATGATAAATTTAAGTTTTAATTAATAAACCTAAGTGACTTTAAATAGAATAGAATATGTAAATAAATTGTATTGTAAGTTGATAATTGATAAATTGTAAAGTATGTGAGTAAGTAATTTTAAGTAAGTTTATAAATTGTAAATAAGTTGATAATAAAAAAATGGGATAAGGAATACTTACAGAATTTTAGCAAGTGATAACTAGTATACACCTCTCTGAATTTCTACCTGCTCAGCATGATGTGAAAATTTAAATCAGAACACCGAGAGAGAGATTAAGATTTTTATCGTACTTAAGGTTTTTCTTGATCTTCAAGTAAGTTGTTAAAAGTTTTATTTATACGTCAATCAGATATTTTAATTTTTCAAATCAATGTGATGTTCTACTTGGGAATATCCATAAAATGTTCCTCAATAGAAGGGAAATTAAAATTTCCCTCCTATTTCCAAGATTTTCCTAAACATTCATTCCAATTATGAAAAGTTAACACTTTATCTATTCGTCTTTGCCATGTTCTGATTTTTCCGCAAAATATATGCTTAATATATATCAATAGGTTTTGTTTAATAGAAAAGTTAGCATTTTATCTATTAGTCTTTGTCATGTTCTGGCTTTTCCGCAATATATATTGTTGATATATATGAGATGGATAATCATTTAATGGAAGGATACCTAAGATTTTTCTTGTTCTTCTTTTGTTCATTTTGTTCATTTAATAGAAGGATAACTGAGACTTTTCTTGTTCTTCTTAAAGTTTTGTTCATTTAATGGAAGGATAACTCAGACTTTTCTTGTTCTTCTTAAAATTTTGTTCATTTAATGGAAGGATAACTAAGACTTTCCTTGTTCTTCTTAAAATTTTGTTCTTATCATCGAACAAATTATGAAAAGTTAACATTCTATTGTTCTTTAAAATTTTCTAACTCGTCTATAGAATATAAAACTCCAATTGGGAATATCAATAAACTCAGTCAAAAATAAACTAGAAATAAGTGAAAATAGAGATAAGTAAATTTTAAAAAAAAAGCCTTAAACCATGTCCTAGAAATGTGTCGTTAATTAGTGTCCTTGTTATGCGGCATGCAGAGATGTACTATATCTTAATTACTTTGTCAGATTCCTTTTAGAGAATTTAAAAAAATTGTCAAATGTAACATTGTTTTCTTTATTCCTCTTTCGATTATTAATTTATAATACACAAGCATCAAATTTAATGCTACATCGTACACATTCATTTTTTTAAATGTACATAACGAAAAACTAATATATTTTCTTCTCTAAAATAAATCTTTAGTACATCTTTGGCATAATATTGCTTTACTTTACTTCTTCTATCAATTCAATTTATTAAACTTCACTTTCAACTTCAGAGCACCCAAGAACTTCATATGATTTCTAGTTTATATTAATTTATTGTTTATTAATGTATCATGATTATTAGTTTCTTGTTCACGATCTAAATGCTACAATATCCAATTGTTCATAAGCAGTAAAAATAAGTAAAATCACAAGCAACGAAAAGAGAAATTGTAAAGAATATAAAATTTTTGAACTTAATTTTGAATTTATATAATATCATTATCCTATTAAAATAAAGTATTGGTCATGTAAAGTTCTTTACTTATACAAAAAAATTTATTTTTATGAAGATTTTTGGTGCTCTGATTGTATTCACTAACATTCTATTCTCTTAACATTCTATTCACTAACATTCTATTTTCTTATTTTCCTCTCATATGAATGTAACCTTAATTCATTATTTTCCTTTTACTTCTTTGCATGAAACGCTCAGTAGGCATAAATATATCCAAATGAAATTTTTTAACAAGAAGTGAAATCGACCAAAAAAAGATTATCAATTTACTTTTTAAAAAATTATTTTTGAACTCAAAGGTTTTTTATAGAATTCCAGTAGTATTTTCACATTTTTTATATCAAATTAAAAACCATCATTTCTTGTCTACCAACAAACGCTTCCCTTTGTTTCAATTTTAAGGGTTGGGGGACTTCAGACGCTATTTAAAAATCGGTCATTTTTCACTTGTTATAATCATATGGTAAGTATCGTGGGTTGCTTTTGCTTAGCTTTGCATGTTTGGCTTGTTATATGTGAATTGCCAAGCGTAGAAAGTCTATATGTTTGTGGTGTATTGCATGCAATTGAATGATTGCATTGTAGGTAGATATATTTATTGCATGTAATATTATTGTCTATTTTGAATGATTAATAATAAATACTTATATTGTAACTACTTTTAATTATTTATTAATTTAGAAAAATATATAAAATTTTTCAGTATTGCAAAATTTTCTGTTATTTCATAACTTAATTGATTATTTTTCAATATTTAATTAATACATTTTAAGTTATATTATTTTTAATTTCAAATAATAAATGTAATTACTTTTCTTACCTTTAAAATAAATCAATTGATAAAAAGATATGATTTTTTTAATGTTACGAAATTTTCTGTCATTCTAATGGTTATTTTTTTTTCATCATTTCATTAACATTATTCAAGTCATATCATTTGAATTAATAATGATAAATATTTTCATTAAAACTTCTTTTCTCAACATTTCAGTATTTAATAATTAAAAAAAACGGACATTTAATGATTATTTTTACAGCATTTCATTAATAAGTTTCAAGTTATATCACTTTTAATCACTAACAACAAATACTTTCTCTGTAATTACTGTTCTTGACTTTTAATTATTCATCAATTAATAAATAAATAAATTCTTTTTCTTAATGTTACGAAATTTTATGTCATTTTATAACTTTGATGATTACTTTTTTCAATATTTCATTAATAAGTTTCAAGTCATATCATATTAAATTATTAATGATATATATTTTCTTTAAGACTGCTTTTCTTAACTTTTATTTATTTAATAATTAAAAAAAGGACATTTAATAATTATTTTCTTCACCATTTCATTAATAAATTTCAAGTCATTTCAAATATTTCAATGGTAAAAATGATCATTTGCGTACTTTTGACCATTTATTTTAATTATTTAAATACTTTTAAAAAGCGAATGAACCATATTCAATATTTAATATTTCAATAACTTTTACTAGTCTTATTCAATGAGAGAAAAAATATTTTTTAATTATTTTTAAATGTAGCAATTATAGCATTTATAGCGATAATAATCATACATAATATTAGCATAATCATAAGCACTCAATTTAAATTGTTTTATTGTTGTTATTGCAAGCGTTTTAAAGTTTTTACTACATTTTTTACTTATGTGTTTGATTTGTGTGCTTGATTACAAAAATTTAAAAAATTGAAATTCTAGTTTTTTATTACAATTCCTTTAGGCATTAAGTAGAATTTTCTTTGTAATATTGGCTTAAGGCATAAATAACAACTAAAAAAAATAATAATTATGTAATAAATTTCTATCTCTTTCAAAATAGGATAAATTAGTTACAGTGTCTAGCCATATTATTGGACGCACTATATGATTCTATGTAACATTTTAATTACCAGGTGATACTATGCAGCTTTATTGTTTTTACTCGACTGAAACTGGTTTGCTCTGGTTAACATTGTAATTCAATTGGTAAACATTGTAATTCAACTGGTTAACATTGTAATTCAATACGTTAAAAATAAATACAAATAAGAAGTATATAAAAATCTCCTGAATAAAAACCCATTACATGTATGTTTAAATATAAAAGTATTGCACATAAACTCGTGTAAATCATGTAATTATTAAAAAACTACAGTGAGTCTAATAATTTAGTCTAATTATTATAATACACTAATGTAATACCTGATATAATAAATATTCCATGTTTATATAATATATCGTCTAATTTATCCAATCGTCGAATTTATATTATACATCGTCTAATTTATCCAATCGTCGAATTTATATTATACATCGTCTAATTTAACCCATTGATACACGAACGTTAACAACTGCAAACCGGTTTCAGTAGCGAAAAAGCACTAAAGCTGCATAGTATCACCTGATAATTAAGATTGTACACAGAATCTTATGGATCGTCTAATAATTTGTCTAGGGACTGCGTATTTAAATTAAAATTATTATGTAGCAATGAATTTAAAATTTTCTTCTTCTAGAAATTAATTAGACAGGCCTATTTTAAAAGTTTTCATCTTAAATAATTTTCTACTTTGAACTATTCTAATTTAAAAATCAATAATCTGTGAATAATATTTTTTTTTCTTCTTCACATTGTAGGTGGTAGTAAATGCCTTAATTCAAGCCATACCAGCCATCTGCAACGTATTATTAGTATGTTTAATATTTTGGTTGATATTCGCAATCATGGGAGTTCAACTTTTCGGTGGAAAATATTTTTACTGCACATCAGACGGCACCCCAGATGGAAAATTTAATATCACAGAAATCAATGATAAAGACACTTGTTTAGCAAAAAATTTCACCTGGGCAAACTATGCCATCAACTTTGATAATGTATTAAATGCCTACTTGGCTTTGTTCCAAGTGGTAAGTTTTAATGTATTTTTTAATAATTCTTTGAAACATTTAATGATCTATTCAAAAACTTTATTTTCTTAAATGTGCGTGTTTATTTAAAGGCTTAAAATAGCAAATTTTTTAAAAAAATGAGTTCAGAATATGTATTTTAATTATAGCGTAATATTAGGTTATCCGAAAATTTAGTACCGAGCTTTAATTTCTTTTTTTAATAATTTTATAACCGTCGTTGAACAGCTGACACAATTTTTGGGTTTATGTTTACCAATGTTCAACTCCGTAGCCTTGTAATTTTGAACCTAATCCAGAAGACAAGGGAACTCAAGGATAAAATATTGAGAGAAATTTTGCGTTCTTGGAGGACTTTTTTGATGGAACTAACCCGCATTTGCGTTACATGGAGACGAAAACCACGAAGAACTCCCACGATTAGCCTAACGGCAAAGGGACTCTAACCCATAATCCGTCTACCACTAATGATATTTTATGTCAGCACTGTGGTCGGTGCAAGCCGGAGTGGAATTTGTATCGACCAGCCATCACTGAGATTCGAACCCGGTTCACTTCATTGAAAGGCGAACACTCGATCCCCTGAGTAGTGCCGAGTTTTAGTATGTATGGTTTAAATCTACCTGAAATCAAAAGTGAATAAAATGCATACGAATTCAAAAAAATGATTATTAAAGGCACTGCTCCCAATTAAAAGAATTAAAATCAACGATTGTACAAAATTGTCCAAAAATAGCGAATCAAAAAGGTTCTCGGCAAAAGTGGCAGATCTCTGATGGGAGGTTCTGTCCTACCCATCATATTCAAGAAGTCTCCTGGTCTCAAATCTCCTGTCATTTCGATTATTAAAAATTCCCCTATGAACCATGTTTTGTAAAAGATGATCAAAAGTTGTAAAATAAGTTTAGATCAAAGAAAATATTTTTGTTTAATTACTAATTAGTTTAATCTCGACGAAGTGTACAAAATATCATTAAGATTGGTGCATAAATTTTTGAAAAATTCTTCTCTAATTTCAAAAATTACGAAGAAAATTTCGATAGAAATTTTAAATAGTATTATATGAATATAAAGTATCATTGGATTTTATTAGTATAATATTTATTTGTATAAGATTTATAAGTCTAAATAGTGTAAGATTAATGAACATTTTCTTCACTGCAAGAGCACTTGATTCTGCATCATTGGCATCCATGCATCGCACATGCATGTGATTGAAGACATGAAGAAAAAAATATTTAAAAAGATTAAACAGTAATAAATTTCTTTGCAATAACAATAAAAACAAAAAAATAGCCTCTGGACATCAACTTCATCATCATTCTTGCCTCTCAATATCAATTACAACGGTTTTCTTCTTTCAAAGAAGGATACTTTGCTACACGGTAACTTCGTTTTCGGTAATGAATATTATTGAGGTCATAATCTTAGAATCAGATTTCGCAGCACAAAGTGAAGGTCCTGCTGCAGTTGCACTGTGTTCAGGGCATTTGCTGTTGTCCTGGCCTTAGTTCTTTTCTCGGCAATAAACTGTATGTGATGCGCATCGACTTTTTGCGCTTACTCATGGATTTTTCATCCATGTATAATATCTAGACCATGCTGAAGCAAAACAAAAATAATTAAAATATGACTAAGATTTCTTTTACAAAAGAGCAGACAGTAATTAATGCAGTGGTTTCAACTGTTTTCAAACTAACAGAAAGTATTTTGATCTGATTTTTCAAGTAAGTTTCTTAGATCTTTCCCTATTGGTTCACGTGATGGCACCAATACAACACTCTGCACACCTTCAAAGCCTTAGACACACACATCCTTAGAAATCCTTAGAACTTAGATACCGGTAAAGAAAGGAAAAAGACTGTTCTTCGAAGCTCATTTGCCAAGGAAAATATTAACACTTTAGACCCCATCGGGACATTTATGTCCCGTCTAAAAGACCTGGTAGGGCACATACGTCCCAGTTCCCTCTCCCAATGCTCAATGAGTTAATTTCTTCATTTTATTTCGGAAGAATATTTTTATTTTGTCTATTTGAACTACTAAAGTCGTAATTTGTCTTTTTTTATTTAAAAATGAAAAAACTGATCTGCAAGGTCTTTAGTTAAAAAAATGGACAAGGGCAGTTAAAAGTCGGGCGAGCGAAACTTTGCTTTTAAACTGCTTCAAAGTACCATGATGAAAAGATCTAACTGTATTTTAAGTCAGGCAAATAGTAGTGATGATAAAATTTCCCTTCTATATGAAACCCATTATACGCAAAATTTGATTCTGAACTACTGATTTTGCTTAACCCAGAAAATATGGTTGTGGACTAACTTTTCAAACATTGCAAAATAATATGACAAAGGCTTTTCATTTTCAAAAAAACAACTCTAGTTTTTATTCAGATTGGCATTCTGTGCCATTTTTGTAATCTGCATGGAAAGTATTTGCTAGAGATCTATAAACCTTAACCTAACAGGTATGAATAACTGTTTTGAATTTTACAACAGATTAACATATTATATTACTCGCTGAAAATCATTATTACATTAGGAGAAAGAGCTTTGTAAGAACAGCCTTCCTCCTTGAACTGTTAGATACATTTTAAAAATTGGAATTTTTGAAACTTAAAACCTTTGTAATCCCTTAAAATCAAAATGAAGCAAATAAACATTATTTTTTACTTAAACTCTTTATATTCCATTCCAGGCAACATTCAAAGGATGGATAGACATCATGTATTGTGCTGTAGATACTAGACAAGTGAGACATTGTTTTCGTTTTATTCTCCTTGTATATTTCTAATTACAGATTTGATATATATAGTTTGTCTAAAGTAAGAACTCCCCTGGCCATTCGTCTGGACCCGTAACGAGCTTTAACTATTTCAAGTAGTGGTGTTGGGTCACTGTTTAAGACAAGTTTTGTCTCGGGGATGCGAGAGAAAAGTAATCTTTTTCTCTGGTCTATTGTGTTAGCCCTAGAGTGAAGAGAAGCTATTCTCCCTGAAATGTGCTATTCTTGTTTTCATAGCAGCAGAAGGCCTCAGACTTTGTGGCTGGGGGAATTTTTACCGTAGACAAACTATACTACTACAGATAATGTGTATCTTTTGAACACACTCTACTACAACAAAATTAATTAGACAAGGAAAATGAGAGTGTATATTCAGTGCTGCAAAATGTTCGCATACATCACATTGAAAGTTATAATATTTTAATTATATTTTAATTAATACGTCTGCTTTCTACATTATTTTTAAAAAATTTAGAATTTAAAACGAGCGTCAACTAAGTTTGACTTGTAAAAATATACCAATGGTGTCATTACGTTAAGATCTAACACTCTTTATATCGGTTTATGAGGATAAAAATATTAACAGTTTGATGTTGCAACATTTCGTTAAACATGACAGGACACCTATAGTTTGCATTGTTAGGCAGTATAAAGATTAACTGTAAGTCATTATCGTCTAACTCCCAACACTTAAAATTATAAATTTTTGTCGGATTCGTGACAATTCGTCGGAATTTAGCATGGTTGCTAAAGTCATTAAAACAAAATAGAATTTTTTCCGACATTTTGTGACAACAAAGCAAGTAAAGCTGTTGAAAAAAAATATATTTTTTAAAATATGGACAAGAATTTTTGCATCAAAATAGCCTCGTGTTAACTTCGCAAGTAGATGTGATATTAAAGCAAAATATTTTCATCTATCCAATAACACAAGGTTGGTGAAAAATATTCTCATTAACCTTATAGAACCTATTGCTAATATAAATACCTATACTAGTATTAATCAAATTTCACGTCAATGTGGTCTTGCGAGTAGGAGACAACCAAAACGTACCCTTAAATCTCGTACCCTAAATAATACTATTCTTTTACTATTTACTAATTTTTTACTAATATTATACCATATTTTAGAAATATTTTTATTTTGTCCAAGTAATTTGACTTTGAACTTAATGATAGGGCACCCACATTTTTATTTTATATTTTTCATATGATAACGACAACACTTTCAAGTAAGTATTTTAAAATGTGAAACACATTTAATGTGAGCTATTTTCATTTCATAAAATTATTATTATCTCAAACAAACTTGATAAGCAGTGTTTTTTTATGTAAATAATAAATCCTACAAATGATTTTTTGGAATGCCATAAATGTTTTGCTAGGTACTAGAGAACGAATATCCTGTTTCCTATATAGTTTTCATCATTCTCACCAGCAACTCTTACTCTAATAATTAAATGTTAGAATTTTTTCATAGTTTAGCTAAATTAAATTTTTAATTTTATTGATGTACTTTTAAATAAGGCATCTGGCTGTTTACAATATACTGTTGTCTAAAAAATTATCTCTTTCAATAATGTGATTAAAAACCATGCAGTTTATCTTAAACTTGTTGACTCTTTTAGAAGGCCCCAAAGTGGCTTTGTGTCCAGGGCCCCGAAATCCGCAATTTGGCCCCTGGTAATGTGCACTTATTTACACGATGAAATTATTTAAATTGAGTGAAAAGATTTTATAGCTAACCACCTTGTTAATATTGCAACAAATTTGCACTGATGTTTTTAGGTTCCAATGTTATAATTCCTCTTTGAAATAATAATCAGCGAATAAAAGGTCGACCCAACTTGACCAGGATGGACAAAATCAACATCCCTTGACTAACACCTTACAACTATGATTTTGAGAAGCATAGCATAGCATAGAATAAAGCATAGAATAGCTTTGCATCTAGGACATTTAACATCATGCGAGGATTGTACCTCCACATATTTAAGAGTTCCCTAAATTTTTATCCCCTTTCCGTTTCAGGTTGATGAACAACCCGACGAAGAAGGGAATTTGATGATGTATTTATACTTCGTCTTATTCATTATCATTGGTTCATTTTTCACTCTGAACCTATTTATTGGAGTAATCATTGACAATTTCAATGAACAAAAGAAAAAGATGAGTATTTATATAACTATATTTGTTTTTGCTTTGCCATTGTGTTGTTTGACACACATGTGAGTATATTTCAGTGTGCCTTTATGTGCGCGGTTGGTTTTAGTACAGCAAATTATTTCAGTTCGTAATTGATTTATTTGCCTAAATGTTGCTACATTAATGTGCAGCTATTGTGATTGTCTACATGCGCAGCAGTTACGCGTGCCTACTTGTACATGCAATCAAGTTGCCCCTAAATGCTATTTAGGAATGTGATCACAGTTTAAACACAGTTTCATCTGAAACAAACAGACTTGGCATCAGCTTCTTCACAGAGAAAATTGTATCACGATTTACCATAACTACAACATAACGATTGGGAATCATTTTTCTATACAAGTGCTTTACCTAATAATATGTCTATGCCGAAAATTCAATCTCTATAAAATAACTTGGCAAACTTAAAGCAGCACTACAAGAAATTTTAAAAACAATATTTTTTTAAGTCTTCTCTATGACGATTTTTATGAAAATCTAGCACTGGAAAAATACTATTTCCTTAAAAATATGTATTTTTAGAAATTTAATAACAGGGAACATCATTAATTATCTTTCAGAAAATTGGTTTTAATATTTTTTGCATAATTTCATGCCTTAACTTAAAGTAAACAAACTTAATTTTTAACTAAAATGTCTCAAAATGAAATTGCATTAAAATTAAGAAAGTCAATGTCAGTTTGTTCTTAAAGTAATAATAATTTAATATTTAAAAAAAAAAACAATTTTATATAACAAATAAAAATTTCTATCAGTCACAAGGATGTTATAAGCATGTCCTTTGCAAGATGTATATGTTACCGGCAAAGTTTGAAATCCGGCATTCTACAGAATGCCTAGGCATTGCATATAATGCCTAAAACTAGCCGGCAATGTATGAAACGATTTATATTTCACGCATTACCTAGGCATTCTATAGAATGACAAATGAGAAACGGACAAAGTGTAAAATACATCTCCGATTCGTTTCGTAATGTAATGAAATATAATTCAAAATGCTATTCAAGCCTGCCATGTTGCAACAAATAGGTTAATTTCTTATATTTTATATAAAAATTTTGTTTCCCTTAATAAAAAAGGCATAAATTATGTGTTGTACAACTTTCATTCTTCTTTATGCACTTTGAATATTTTTTTAATGGCACTCTCATTATTTTTTCAGAATAACATTTTTATTTTTGAGAGATGCACATCATTTGCATAATAACCTCATCAGGAAGTTTTTTCTTTCATACTTTGCCTGAATAGCGTTTGCCATTCTATAGAATGCCTAGGTATTATATACAATGCCTAGGGAAAATATGTAATGCTTTTCATATTTCATACCTTCAAAAAAAGCATCCGGCATTATATACAATGCCTAGGCATTCTATAGAATGCCGTCGTTTCATACTTTGCTGGTAACATATACACTACAAAAAGATTAAAAATGAAAAAAAGTTTTTTTAAATTATCAACTACAAACTGGTTAGACATTTTAACATAAAACTTGATGAAAGAAGATAAAAACGAAGAAAGTATAGAGTGAAGGAAAGTATAGAAAGAAGGAAAGTGCTTGAACGCTACAATAGAGAACATGAAGGAATTGGTAAAAAATGACTTTTTTGGTAAGAAAAAAGTTATGGTGGTGTAAGTCCATTTTCTATGTTTTTCAAAATCTAATGCAAAATAAGCGCACCAAAAAAAATAGTCACCTCTACAGAAATCAATAAAAGCATAATTCACTACTGTGTAATTCTTCCTCAGGAGTTGATAGATGCCGGCATGCAGTTAGGTTTTTCAAATAGCAACTCACTCTCAGAAACTTTTATCAAACAAATCCACCGGGTTACGAGATTGCTTATTTCGGCGTTTTTCCCGATGTTCCAACATATTCCAAAGATGTTCTATGGAGTACAAGTCATGTGATTTTGCAGGCCAATCGAGATCTAATTGTGTGTGAGAAAGGGAAAGAATTTATAATGCAAGTCACATGTTTTCCCAGTCTGGTGAGCTCTGCAGTTGCCATCTTGATAAATATGGGTACATACATACTTAACGTGAAGATAATTCTTAAATGGCAACACCTTGTTAGCCAGAATGTTAAAATAAACATGATGGTTTACGTTAGTATTCGCCTCGGTTAGCAGGCTCGATCTGCAATACGAAAAATTCTCTCAAACCTGACTCTACGGGTTTAAACCTAGCCTTGAATACAAACAGGATAATTTCTCTAGCGGTGACTTTTTTTTTCTCTGTGCGAGAAGCTTGTTTTGGAAAAGAGAGGTTTCTAATTATTGTAAGCGTGTACGCAACTCCCAATCTTTAAAGAAAAGCGAGCCTCTTCAAAGGAAAGAATGTATTTATTTTGATTATCTAATATAAATTATATAATACCTTTACAGTAAGTATAACCTTTAAAACTTTCCGAAATAGCAAATTACGATTGAAAATTTCAGTTAGGTAGGACATTACTGCTGTGCAAAAGAAAAATCAACGTAAGCGACGAAAAATTGAAAGTTGAGATTTATATATATAGCATCTCTGTATGATAAACTACATATGCTGCAAGAAAAAGGTTTTTCAAAGATAAGTTTTGTTTTATCAGTTTTCAGAAATTCTGCTTTAGCGTTCATTAACAATAGAAAGAAATAAGCCGGCAAGCTACTTTTTCTGGAATCTATCATGAAGCACTTACATTGTTTTTTTTTAATTGCACGGCAAGTTAGCAAGTGTGTCCTTAGACAGTACATTCTAAGTAAGTTAGAATGTACTCTATAGCTCTTTGCTCATATTATAGTGGTTGCTTTACATTTGAGAACAATTACACATATTTCTAGAGGTTTGCAAAATTTGTTGAATTAGTGTCACCAGAATGGCTTCACTGCACCATAAAAGGTTAAGAAAACAATTATAAAAACTGTATTCACTTTTACTTCACACAGAAATTTTATAATGAAAAACCATAATCTCCATTTTAGGAAAACATAAATTTGGTACTTGGAAGTGCTGTATAATATCTTAACCGACATTCTATTGCCACCACTTTTAAAGTAGTTTGTGATTTCAGACTGTTGGAAAAAACGAATAAATAAATTTGGATTTAATAACTTATAATGGAATTCATACAACGATATAAAGTTACGAAATTATTTTTGAAAAAATTAGACGCATATTTCCCACAATATCTTTTTTTTAATGAAACACAAATATCTAGACTGCAATCAAATTAATTACATTAAATTGTAATTGATTACATTAAATTAAATTACAATCTAAAAGTGTTAAATTAAAACTTTGGCCTATTGAATCCAGCATAAATAACAGCAAGAAGAAGGATGACGTGAAGGATATTTAAGCCAGACTAATACGCTTTATCATTTTATGAAAAGAAAACTATGAAACCTTTTAAGGACAAACAATGGAAAATGCGAATCAAACTTTATTTTATAAAACAATATCATCATCACAACGAGTTTTAAACTCTAAGAACAGAATTTGTAATCACCTTGCACCATTATTGTTTATATGCAGTGATGTGGATGAAAATACAAATATTTCATTTATTTCAAATTCTATGTTTATGATTAACTTACCTCTCTCGTTTGAAAACAAACCAAGAATTTAATCAGGAATTGGAATAGAAGGTTCAAGCAACACAAAACTAATATAATTAACAAAAGTAATTTTCCACATTATATTAAGGAATATTAAAGATTATTTTTCAAAACACTGAATTGAACAAACGCTTGGCTTATTAACCTAATTTTCTATTTAATTTAAAACTTTAAACTAATCTGTGAGTACAAGTAAAAAAAATAATAATTAATCTAATAAATGTCCCGCATTCGATTTGAATACTCTTTTCTTAAATTTACAATGTACAACAAAAATTAAATTGCTTTTGAATACTAGCATATTTTGATATTCTTGAGAATATCTTAATAATACGTAGAGCTTAAAATAGAAATTTTGTTTCAAAATAAAATTTAGAGTGTCCCTTGTAACCAAATTTTGAACATGTTTACATTACTTAAACACATAAATATTTATACTGAGTGACCACTAAAAGTCTGACCCACTTTGAACGTAAATTAAAAAACACGGTTTAAGATTTTTTTAAAAATGCTCCGCTTGCTGCATTGTTATTAGAGAAACAATAGATTTTGAAAAATACATAGCATAATCGCCACTAGATGGCGACAACCTGCCATAGGAATACAGACAGAACGTCTACTAATTTTGATTTGTTGGGCATGTTCATGCTAAAGTTTGCTCTGAAAAGATGGTGTTTTCTATGAAACAACGAATATTTCTAGTGTTAAAATTTCAGCGACTGAAACACAGTGTTGTGAAAACCAGACGAAATTTCCAACAAAAATTTTATGTGACTACAGAACCGGAGAGGGACACAATTAAAAGTTTGTTTACAACATTTTGAAATATTTTTTACACTACGTAATTTTTAAAATGTATTGCTTTTCTAATAACAATGCAGCAAGCGACGCTTCTTTTATCTCCAGTGTTTTTTGTTTTTTTTGTTACATTCGAAATGGGTCTGTCATTCAGCAGTATTTACTGTGAGAAATTAGAGATGAGAATTTCGAATCCACTAAGCTCGAATCCTTCGAATTTCAAAAACTATCCGAAGCTTTGATAGAAGTTTTCTTAATTTCTTTTTACTCGACTCTTTTGAATCCAAAATTGGAAATTGTCAAAAAATTTTCTAAAAAATAAAAAGTTTTAACCTCGTGTTTTAAGCTATGTTCTATTATTATTTATGAATGCATCGTTACCTTTTTAATGAAAATCTTTTTCCTTGAAACATTTCTGTAACTTTACAGGAGTCAAAAGACAGCAGAAAATTTAGCAACTTGGATTCGAGAGAACTTAGAATTCGTCTCACCTCTAATTTAAATAAATAAAAATGTCTAGTTATATTTTTCAACAGTTTAACTATCTATACTTAATCCAGACGAAGTTTCAGATGATATTGAAGAGTACCTCCAACGGTTTCTAACAGTTTGATATAGGTTTTATGCTAACAAACTTCTCTTCTTTTAACTATCGCTCTTAAAAGCACAAAATTTTCCGCTGCACTATCTATCTGCTCTATTTCTGCACAAAAGTATATTCTGATTCTCCATAATCACTTTTAATAACCTCGATGTAAATTTTTATTGATGTTTATAATAGCATTTAAGAAAAAATTTTCCATTTCATTTTATTCTTACGCTACTTTCGGGTAAAATCCGAATCAAAAAGTGGAATCATAAAACCAAATCGAAGGAAACCAATTCGCCATGTTGAATCGGGTTTTACCCGGAAACAGAGTTCAAAAAATACTAATTCAGCTCTCCGTTTTAGCCGAAAACTGCTCTTTCGGCGGGATATTGATTATCATATTTGACCATTTTAAGGTAGAGTTATATTTTACTAAAACTTTCTTATTTTTCCAAATTTTATTCTCCATTTTTAAATTCAACCAAAATTGCATTCGATTTAAACCCTTTTTTAATGCATTTTATAACCCACTTTTGACTCAATTTTGTACCTGCAGCTTCTTTTCACAGTTTCGAAATCATTTAATAACAAAGCATTCGATGTTTTTCTGTTTTAAAGATTAATAGCGTTTTATTTTTATTTGCTTACTCTTCGCATTACTCTTGCATGACTTTTTCAGCATCTATTTCTCCCTTTTTAATCTATATATAAAAAAGCATTTTTGTTCACCCTCTTTTACTCTTCATTTCTTCAAAACTATATTAAACACACCAGTCTAACTGTATCTTCTCATTTCCTTAATTACGCAGGGGGATCTCTCGAGATGTTTATGACGGAAGATCAAAAGAAGTACTACAACGCAATGAAAAAAATGGGTGACAAGAAACCCGTTAAAGCAATCCCTAGACCTAGAGTAAGTACAATAAGGATTGGTTAAACATTAGATCCTTTTCATTAATAAATCAATTAAAATCAAAATATTATAAAAGGATATTATATCGAATCGATAACCATACTTACATCAAGCCACCTGCACTGAGAAAAAATGTATGGCCAGAACTAACTTTAAAAAAAAAACAAACAGTAAAGCAATCCTAACACCTAGAGTAAGTACAATAAGGATTGGTTAAACATTAGATCCCTTNAGTCACTTATCACGCTTTATCATCTGCTATTATACCTTCCGTTACTCTAGCTAATTAAATGTATTGCAGTAAAATGTCTCAAAAAAATGTATGGCCAGAACTAACTTTAAAAAAAAAACAGTAAAGCAATCCTAAGACCTAGAGTAAGTACAATAAGGATTGGTTAAACATTAGATCCCTTCCATTAATAAATCAATTAAAATCAAAATATTATCAAAGGATATTATATCGAATCCATAACCATACTTACATCAAGCCACCTGCACTGAGAAAAAATGTATGGCCAGAACTAACTTTTAAAAAAAACAGTAAAGCAATCCTAAGGCCTAGAGTAAGTACAATAAGGATTCGCTAAACATTAGATCCCTTCCATTAATAAATCAATTAAAATCAAAATATTATAAAAGGATATTATATCGAATCGATAGCCATACTTACATCAAGCCACCTGCACTGAGAAAAAAAACAGTAAAGCAATCCTAAGACCTAGAGTAAGTACAATAAGGATTCGCTAAACATTAGATCCCTTCCATTAATAAATCAATTAAAATCAAAATATTATAAAAGGATATTATATCGAATCCATAGCCATACTTACATCAAGCCACCTGCACTGAGAAAAAATGTATGGCCAGAACTGACTTTAAAAAAAACAAAACAGTAAAGCAATCCTAAGGCCTAGAGTAAGTACAATAAGGATTGGTTAAACATTAGATCCCTTCCATTAATAAGTCAATTGATATCAAAACGATAAGGATATTATATCGAATAAACCTTATCCATACTTACATTAAGCTACCTACACGGAGAAAAAAAGTGTGATCAAAACTACAAGAATATAGTAAAATTGACTGTCTCTGGCTCCATGAGAGCACCAGAAAGCTCAGTAATTTTTATCGAAGCGCTTTGATAGTGATTTTTCATAAAATTAACAATAGAATATGTCTTTATAATGTGTCATAAAATTTGATAAATGTGGTAAAATTTGATAATTTTATCATGATTTATTAGAGCATGGCATACGGACTATTCGGTTAAATTTATTTTCAGTTTTGTATTTTTTACGAAGTGTGTGGTAATAAGAGCTATGATTTTGAAAACCACAATTTCCAATTAACCATTGCCATATGAACGGAAAAATTACTCAAATGAATGGTTTAAATACCGTATATTTTCGTTTTATTGATCAGAATTTCCTTTTTTTTTTACCAGAAAATTTTGTCACTACTCTACTATAGGGTAATTTTACTAAAACAATTTTTCTCCGTGTGCAATCCGAGAATGATAAACTTTCTTGCTAATAAAGGATACTATAAACAAGTAATTATTATGCAAAAAAAACGGTAAAAAAGTGGAAAGATCACTCCAAAACATGAAATAATCTTTAGCCTGAAAAATGCCCCGATCACTCCTAGTCACGTTTTAAATCCACTGTGGGAAATTCCGGATCAAATTACGATTTAAAATACTGGCACTTTGGGTGCATCATCCGTAAAATCTGTTTTTACCGTAATTTTGACAATAATATTTATCAAATTAGAGTGATTCAGAGATTTTACGGTAATTATTACTCCAAAAATTACGGTATATCAGATTTGTCGCTCAGTAACATGTTCCGGTAGCAATGAATTTTTGGGTAAAAAGTACCGGCACCTTGAGTGACTTTACTTATTACTGCAATTTCATCCGGAATTTTTTTCGTTTTACACTTTTCAATGATAATTACAATGGAACAATTCCTGCTCTTTAGCAAGGTTTTATCAAAAAGTAACATTGCTTTACAAAGTCATGACATTTCCTTAGAACAGAGAGAAGCTGAGGTTTTTCATTCGAAATTATAATTTTTTTAAATCAAAAGTCAATTTTCAAGCCTTTTTACAATAACTTCTCTCCATAGTTATTAAACAAGGAACTATTTTTAAGTAAAACCTAGCTGAGCAGCGGAAATAGTTTAATAGATGGGGCTTAGCAAACATTTTAACATTCATCACCTTCTATGACATTTTCCATTTTATATTTTAAGTTAAAAAAATATAATCTATGTGAATTAATTTAGGAAAGCATGACTAATGATTGAGACTTAAGCTTTTGAATACAACTGTTGATTGATAACGAGCTATTTTCAGGTCATACCCAACTAAATAGCGGAAATCGTTTCCTGGATGAGGCGAACATACAGCATTTATCACTTTCTACAACATTTTCCATTTGATTTTTTAAGTAAAAAAAGTGGAATCTTTGTGCCTTAATTTTTGAAATTATGACTACTGATTGAAACTTGAGCTTTCAAATGTAACTGTTGATAGATGACAAACCATTCTAAGCTCAAACCTAACTGAATAGTTTAGCCTGTTATATATATTTACTATAATAGACTATATTAACTATAAAAAACTATATTAACTATAATAAATTTCTACAGCATTTTTAATTTGATATTTCAAGTAAATGTCTTTGTGCATTTACAAAACAGGTCTGTTATTGTCAGACCTTATAAACTACAATGCTTTTTACCAATTTATAAAACGTGTTTCATAGACTTTATTCGTTTTTTATTCTAGTTCAAACCACAAGCAATAGTTTTCGACTTGACTACCAACACCAAATTCGATATGGCGATCATGTTATTTATTGGCATGAATATGATAGTTATGGCAATGGACCACTACCAAATAGAAGACGGATTGAATGCGGTGCTTGACAGACTCAACGTCTTTTTCATCGCCGTTTTCACAACTGAATGCGTGCTCAAAATATTTGCTTTCCGATGGCATTATTTCAAGGAGCCGTGGAATGTATTCGACTTTGTAGTGGTTAGCCTATCTATCTTAGGTTAGTAGAAATATTCATTTGCATATTCATACATTCTGGAAATATATATTTATGTACAGCTTGGGCCTTTGAGTACAGGATGGCAATTATTGAGCTATAGTTCGTTCACCAGGAGTTGGCACTTGGCTCCACCTCCTCGGACGAAGAGTTCATTTCAGAGCGGGAGTAAGAGGAGAAAAGTCTCCGCTCTTGAAATTGAGACAAGCCTTAATGCGAGCCAAACGCAAACAGCGAATTCTTTTTCAGTCACTTATCACGCTTTATCATCTGCTATTATACCTTCCGTTACTCTAGCTAATTAAATGTATTGCAGTAAAATGTCTCAAAAAGGACAAACTATTCACTTAAAGGAGAGAAATATCATCAAATTTATGAAATATTTAATGTTAAAAAAATGCACATAAAGATTGTGATATAAATATTTTTGTCATACGATTGCCAAATAGTAACGTTGTTCAGGATTGTTCACATCCTTCTCCCAAAAATAGCAAAATAGTATTGTCGAAAACCACGTGATGAAGGAGGAGCCAAGTGCCAACTCCTGGTGAACGAACTATATATAAAATGACATTTTCAAAGACAACTGAGTTCAAATATTCCATGCTAATTCTCAAAGTAATAATAGATGTTCGGATTTGCACATTTGTGCAACTGAAACGCGAATCTTCGATGCAAATTACTCGTTCTCTTTGATTACTGTTCGATCGTAACTGCAATTGCTATTCAATATCACAATCAAACTTGCGTTACATCACAATTCACAATCAAACTCGAACCTCTCGATAAAGCATATCTTTTGCGGTAGCTCACGTGCGTTATATTCTTTCTCCGCCAACGAAAGAATTCGCAGACATTTTAACAAATGTTTGTTGGGAAAAGATTTTTAACTGTAACTTTTGAATTAGCATTCTCTTTCAGAATTTCGCACTTATGCGTGTCTGTAATCATCTGATATATAACTTAAATGATTGAAATATTTTACGGTATTAAATACGTGAATAATATTTTAATTTGAAATAATTATTTTAATCAATTTTGCATACAATAATGATGTGTTTTCACTTTTAAGATTTCCCTTAAAAAAAGTTTAAGCTCTCATGATCATGTATTTTAATTTTCCATAAAATGTGATGAAAGTATTCTTAACATTCTTAAAATCTAATTATTTGTAATTCTCAATATGTTGACAATTTTAAAATTTTTATGCATCGTAAAACGCGGATCGGAAAACGTAAGTCTGAATTAAGAGCAATTGTTTAAGAACTGTAATGAGATAACAAAATTGCAATAAACTTGTACAGAAATCATATTTAATCTAATAATCTAAGCTTGCTTTTAGAAGTAATAAATTACGAACTTGAGTTAAAGCGACTACTGATAAATATTGAATCATAGTTCTAGATTTCCATCCGGAAATTATTCTATGAATGGTAAATGCAGTTATTCGATGCACTTGTATCTAAATTAGAAAAAATAGTATCACATTGTTCAACTTGCCTATTATTTACATAAAATTATCACGGAGTTAATCCTATCCCTCTTAATTCTGTCTATTACCACGGCTAAAAGAGAGTATCTGCTTTGTGATTGATCAAAAACAGTTCGAATAAACTTAGCCATCGAAGTCAAACTATCATGCTGGTCAGGTGACGGAAAACATTCGTAGCGATACAGTTGAATAAAAAGAACAGAGATTTTTTTCGAATAAATCGAGCAGAATTCAGTAATTCGATCGAATTTCGTTTAGTTTGCATAACGGCCTTTAGAATATCGTATATGTCACGCTCGTATTTCTTAGGGCTATAATAATTTAAGGCTATGACGAGTTTTTTAAAATTCGTTGATGCTTCGAGACATCCATGCTTTTTAACTTTTAATGGCCTTCTGAGTTAAAAAATGAATGACGCTTCTGATCCCTGTATTAGCTTTGGGATTTTTTACGTATACTTTTTCTTCAGCATTTCCCCATAAAATTGAGTCACAAGGATTGAGATTTGTGGGATAGCGTGGCCATGTGATTTCCATCCCAGAGGCCTCTTAGTATCCAGTAACTAAAATATATTTTACGAAGTTTAATTCAGGGTTTTAAAAAATACATCGAGTCGATAGGGTCGTGCTCTGTCCTGCAGAAACCACATGTTTTTTTGAATCTACGTCTCTTAGAATAATGGAGATAAAATCATTTAAGTGAACCATTTTGACTCGTTGTTAATTTTTTATAGTTATAACATTAGAACTAGCTGCTTTCAGCTTGTCCTCAAACACAATTTTCTCTTCAGCCACACTCAGGCTGTTATAGATGGAATAGTAAACCTTGACGATGACCATCGGTACTCGCTCAGAAACGCTGTTTTTCGAAATTGTCATTAAGAAATGAACAAGAGAGCGCCCGCTGGAAAAAAAAAAGCAGCATTCTATGCGTTCAACCACCTAGTTTTTGCTACATCTCGCCAACTATTCAAAAAATATTTGAGGGTTTTTTTCTTATCTCAATGATTATCATCCTGTATATTTACTAGTAATACATTTGTCTGAAGATTCACCTTGCACTTGATTTCACTTTAAAACTGTCTTGATCATGATATTATTACACTGATTCTGATTATAGATATTATGATTTGTTCATTTATTTATGTTTTACTGTTTATATAACGTAAAATATAATTGATGTAAAGAAGTTCCAAAATAAAGAAAGACAACGCATGTAAAGCACAAATAAAACCATAAAACAGACATATTATAATTTTTGCTTCATACTAAAGAACTTTTTTCAGGATGGAAAAACAGAATAAAATGGAGGAAAAAGGGAGGTTGCAACAAAGAAATTAGTAGTTTAATCAACACGGGGATAGTGAACAAATTTTAAAAAGTTAATCAACAAAGGAAGAAAGATAAGAAGCGGGTGTTGGGGTAGGGGAAAACACCCGCTGTGTAAGATGTAGAAACAAAAATAGTTTTCAAATATAAGGAAAGAATGGAATTCTAGTAATGTTGTTAACTAACTAATAAAATGTTTCAAAATATGAAATAATTACCATAAATCTAGGTCAGAGGTTAAAGATCAGAATTAAGTTATATATTTTAGCAGAAGAAAACTCAAACCTATGATTAGGATTCCAGTTGTGTTCCCCGTTCTCCTTCCTTTCCTTGTTTCGACACTGAGGAAAGTCCTTGATTATTGAACGGAAAATTTTTCTGTTTCATTTTTTGTGACTTTATTTTTGCTTTTTCCATATTACTACCTTTATTTTCATGTACAGAACAACCCTTTTTGGGTTTATGTAAAGACGTTAAATTTTTGTGCAAATCAAGCGAACGATATCAATCTAGTTTTTAATTCCTCATAAGAATTAGGGCAATAATTTAAAATAAAAAATAAAAACTTCTTCCGAAGACTAGAAAAGAAAAAAAATTACGTTTAATTTTAGCGATATAAGAAACACTGTCGCAAAGCTGCACCTTCGTTAAATTAATCCTTTCCTTTATAATTATATGCTTCTTTTATAATTGTTGCCTATTATTTGCTTCATTAAACTAATCTTACTCTTTATATTAATCTTATTCCTTAAATTAATCTTATACTTAAATACATTGTAAAAATGCATTCATTTATTCATATCATATTGTAAGAATGTATCCATTGTATCTTTATTTTTAATGATTTCTAGCTTTTAAAATTAGTTTATAACTGCAAAAAAATATCTTAATTTTGATGAAGTATATGTTTCTGTCTTCCAGGTGTTGTGTTGAAAGATTTAATCGAGAAATATTTTGTATCTCCAACACTCCTTCGAGTAGTCCGTGTAGTCAAAGTAGGCCGTGTGCTTCGATTGGTAAAAGGAGCACGTGGAATTCGGACACTACTATTTGCACTTGCCATGTCATTACCTGCCCTTTTCAATATTTGTCTCCTGCTTTTCTTAGTAATGTTCATCTACGCCATTTTTGGCATGTCTTTCTTCATGCACGTGAAACACCGTTACGGCATAGATGAGAACTTCAACTTTGAAACATTTGGCCAGTCCATGATTCTCCTGTTCCAGATGTCCACTTCTGCTGGCTGGGACGGAGTATTGGCAGGCATCATGGCGGATGAAGACTGTGATCCTCCTGACCCCGATAATGACGTTCCCGGTAGCTGCGGAAGCAGGGGAATTGCAGTCGCTTATCTAGTCACCTATCTAATCATTAGTTTTCTGATCATCATCAACATGTATATTGCTGTCATTCTAGAAAACTACAGTCAGGCAACAGAGGACGTGCAAGAGGGACTGACAGCAGATGACTACGACATGTACTATGAGATATGGCAACGTTTCGATCCAGACGGTACCCAATTTATCAAGTACGAGTATTTGAGCGACTTCCTGGATGCTTTGGAAGAGCCACTGCAGATCCCGAAGCCTAACAAGTACAAAATCATTTCGATGGACATCGCCATCTGCAAAGGAGACCTCATCTTCTGTGTCGATATTTTAGATGCGTTGACGAAGGACTTCTTCGCAAGGAAAGGTCACGTCATCGAGGAGAATGCTGAAATCGCTGAAGTAGTGCCTAATAAAGATCGAGGTGGTCTAGAGGCAATCAGTAGTACACTGTATAGACAGAGAGAAGAATATGCTGCACGTGTTCTCCAGCAAGCCTTTAAACGCCTAATGGGCATGAGTAGTTCAGAACCTAAGCCCCAACAAACTGCCATCGTGGTTGAGAGCGATGGACACGTGACCAAGAATGGACATAAGGTCGTCATTCACTCTAGGTCTCCAAGTGTCACTAGCCGCTCCACAAATGTGTGATAATTACTGAATACGGGCATTCGGGCAGGGTTATATACCTTTTAAGGCTTTGTACACAGCAAATGACAGCAGGCTTGCTCTCTCTGAGCTCAAATTGAGCTCGAACCAAAGGGGCTGCATGAAGCGTATATTTTTATATTGTATATGCAGAGGCTCACTAACGTCTGCTTGCAACACGTGTACTTGGTTCTCTAAACCAACGTTTTCCAATGTTATTTTTCTAACAATTAGTTTACACTAATTATCTATTTACACTAAATGTAAATACGCAAGAAAAGTCTATGCTAAGGCTATCATAGTATTTGTTGCCAGAAAAAAAGTATATATAATTTTAATACTGAGTTCTGATTTTAAGTGGTATGTAAAAAAAGCTAGTCTGATGTAGTTCATTAATTTATTTTTAAAAATATTTGAAGCCATGAAAGCTTTTATTGTTAAAGTTTTAGCAAATAACACGAACTTCATGGAATGTGTAAAAGTGGCACAGAAGAGTGCGGAAGTGTGTAGAGCTGTGTCAAAGGAGAAGCCGCTATTTGGCGGAAGAAAGAAACTGTTTACCTACTTTTTTGGTGATAGTATATTTTGAAGCTTCCAAATCCATTTCGAGCTCTTTCCAGATATCCGTGAAAGAGAGTGAGTGAAAAATATATATACAAGGGGGTTACGTATAGAATGTCAAACAAACTATACCGTTTGTTTGTTCCTAAGAAATATGTAGGATATATCGTTTGTTGACCAATCCGTTGTTTGTTGAGTTGACTAGCTTGTTCATTAGTATAATATTCTAGATAAATTGTTTTGAATAGGCCACTGCGAGCTAATGAGAGAGCATAGGTTATTTTTTTAATTCATAAGACTGCACTCAAGTTCGGAGAATGATTAGGACTTGTTGTTTTATTGTTGCCTTGTGCATTAACTAGCACCTGGACTTCAACGAAGTTTAAAAAAAGAAGTGTGATAGACAAGTCAAAGAGAGCGGAGCAAGTGAAAATGTCAGAGCACAAATCAACATCCGTTTAAAAGTACAGTATATATAAGTATATATCACAAATATACATGTATGTACTTAACACTAAAACGGAGATATCTCATAGTGATAAAGCCATCGATATAGGAGTTCCTCAGCAGTTCTCTTTCATGCTTCCCATGAGTAGAAGCAGTAGCCTTTCACGTCTACAGAGGAACACCTAGACAGGATGTCATTTCAAGAAACGTGTGTAGAACACTTGTACAAACAGCAAATATATATTAATCAGGGTTACATACTGGGCAGGGGAGGAATTGCCAACAAATTTTTCATGTCCTATCTCTCTTTGCACACAGTAACTTTTAGGTGTATAACACTCCAAGCTCAGTTTCTTGCCCTATCCCTCGAGGACAGAAGAAGAAGGTGTGATTTACGAGTGACGTATGAATACGTCATGGCCTTTTCCGTCAGCCACTCAGGAGCAACCCCGCTCTATTAAGAGGTTTCATTTATCATGTGCCTTTCTGCGTTGTTATTGCTGTCCCATAAACAGCAAAGTCTTGCATCATAAAATTCAGCAAACGGTTCGGAATTGCTTAAATTTAGCTTCTTTCCAATCCTTATTCCGGCACACCCGAACATAATACATTAATTTCTATAGAAAGTCCAGAATAAATAAATAAATATATTATATATATACATATATATAACTATAGCAAAAAATGTCCGTGTACATGTATATATGTATAAATTGATGAGTTGTTAAATATATATACATATACACGAAAAAAAAATTTATTCACGAGCTTAGTCCCACGTCCCGACTTGAAGCTCATATTAAAGTTAATGAAACAGCACATTGCTTTTTAGTATTGAAAGCTCAAAGTTCCATAAAACCTTTTATTTTCCTTACATAAATGACCACTAAGAGTAGTAATTATGCTCCATTTTGGTGCAAAAAGGATAAAAATAATTATCAGAATTCGCTTCAAAACAAACAAACATTGCGAACATCTTTTTTTAAGAAAAAATAAATAAAATCAATTGTGGGGAAATCTTACTTTTCATATTCTCAGTTGCCTTTGTCAAAGTTTTTCTCTTGTTTGAGAAAAATAAAATCTCGAATAAAAACAATCATCATATTTCATTGTAAAATCACAAAATTCTTGCATAAATTAATCTCCTGTTAAATCTATTAGCAGGACTTATAGCATTTAGAAATTAATACCTAAACCCAAACTAGGAGAATAGATACTCCAATTTAGGCCCTTTTAGCATTACTGAAAATTTACTAGCTTTCTTAAAAAATAACGCCACACTCTGAAACAGCTGAAAACTGATCTCCTCCATCCTATTTCTTAGAGAAATTTTACGTTTAAAACAGCCTGAACTATTAAAGATTATCCTCCATTGTATATTCTGAAATGCGCTATTGGAAGAAATATTCCATTGCAACGCTAATATTACTACTAATACTACTACTACTACTAATGAGAAGCTTCAAGAAGTTGACTCGCCATTTCCATTTTGAACACCAAGTTTCAATCATTTTTCTCAATTCTGCCTTTTCAGCTTGTACTTACTTTGTAAGACGTTTTGAATTTCACAGTTTGTACCATACTGCCTGTAAATACATCATTGAATAAATTTTTGATAATTTATCACAACGAACCAATGCTCAAGCAAAGACATGTTTGTAGTGTGTAGTTTATGCCTTGTTATAATAAATTAATTATATGCTAAACACTCTCACTCTAAATGCATGACACAAATATTATACTTAAGCAGAAAAATAAAGATAAGGCCATCCTTACTACTTAAAACTTTACTACGCAGAAATCAAAGATCTATAGGAACATTCTTATTAAAGAATAAGCATTTAACCTTTAACTTCTACCAAGCAGCTACAGATTACATGTAAGGATACGTGATAAAAGTGGAAGCTGAGAACTCAATTGTGTATTGAGAAAACAACACTCTCACTCTAAATAAGTGATAAATATTATAAAGCAGAAAAATAAGCATAAGTTAAACATATTTAAAGGCCATCTTTATAACCAAAGCCTTTAAACTAGATTTACAACGCAAAAATAAATGATTAATGAACTTTCTTACTGAAGAATAAGCATACTTTCTATCACTCAGCTACAGATTACATGTAAGGATAAAAATACGTGATAAAAGCGAAAGAAGTCAATTGTGTATTGAAAAAACTATAATCTCACTCTAAATACATGACAAATATTATAAGACAGAAAAATGCGCATAAGTTAAATATATTTAAAGGCCATCCTGCCAACAAAATTTTAGAACTAGATTTACTACGCAAAAGTCAAAGATTTAGGTTTTTTCTTACTAAAGAATAAGCATTTAACCTTAAACTTCTATCACAAAACTACAGATTACGAGTAAAGATAAAAATACTTGAAAAAAGCTGAAGCTGAAGCGTCGATTGCGTATTGAGAGAACAACACTCTCACTCTAACTACATGTCAAATATTATATTTAAGCAGAAAGCATAAGTTAAACATATTTAACTGCTTAAGTTAAGCATAGGCTACACATATTTATTATGCATTACCAGCATAAGTTAAACATGTTTAACTTCTGCTGGTATTGCATATTAATTATAACATTATAATTAATCACATCAATAATATAATTTAAATAATATTCATTGTTAAACATATTTAAAGACCATCCGTACTACCAAACCTTAAAACTAGATTTACAACGTAAAAACTAAAGATTTAAGAACTTTCTTATTAAAGAATAAGCTTTTAATCATTAACTTCTCTCACGCCGCTAAAGATTACGTGCAAAGATAAAAATACGTGAAAAAAGCGAAAGCTGAAAAATCAATTATGTACTGAGGGAACACCGGGACATAAGCTACTTTTACCACCAAAAAATTTTTTCAGTAAGGAGATTTTGCATATTTCTTTTTCTTCCCCAAACCGTGACATTACTGTATTTTAACCCAAAACGTTTCTTAAAACTTTTTTTCCGCAACGATATTGCTCATCCTGTCATTTGTTTTGTCCATATAACTGTTTTCTAAGTTTAAAAAATAAGATGGTAGCGTGTAAGTATCATTCCTGCTCTAAACTTTTCTACTTTACTTCTTTTTTTCCTCCATTCACTTCCAATTTGCCTCACTCGGGGTTACTTAGAGATCTATTTTCTACACTGCTTGACAATTGCTAAGGAACAACTGATTTTTGCAAAGTAGCGTTCTTGACAGTTGGTCAACAATAGTAAATCAAGTGTATGTAAAGCAGTACCCGTTATGCGTATGAAAGGCGGTGTACACAATCTCTTCATTCATTCGAAAATACATGCGGTTAGGTGTTTGACCAAAATAGCACCTGGGCTTATTTCTGAGAAATTCAATGCTTAAGATATTAATAATTAAGTGAAAAATGTTAGCACGATATCATTTGAGTTCTTACGATCGTGGACGAGCAGTTAGACGATTGGAAGCTAGTCAAAATGGCATCACTGTGACTGCAGTAATGGGAGTGTAAAAAGTATCATCTCGGGATTAAAAAATACCGTTAACGTCTCCAAGCCTGAAATTGAGACAACCCGTAATGCTCGCCAAACTCAAACAGTGAATTCTTTTTCAGTCACTTACTTAGCGTTATCATCTGCTAAATATATTGCATCAAAATGTCTCAAAAAAGACAAACTATTCCCTCAAAGGAAAGAGATATCAATTTCATGAAATATTTAATGTTAAAAAAATGCTTATTAAGATTGCGTACTAAATATTTTAGTCATACGAATAGCAACCTTGTTCAAGATTGTTAATATCCTTCTCCCAAAAATAGCGAAATAGTATCGTCGGATACCACGTGATAAAGGCGGAGACAAGTGCCAACTCCAGGTGAACGAACTATACTCCCAAATAGCGCAAAGCAACAGAAATGTCACTCCTAGGCAGAGAGCAGCAGACCTTGCAACCACTACCGATGCACATGTTTTTGCCAGAAGCATCTCACGGCAATAAAATCAAGTTGGTTTGCATGCACGGAAACCTGTTCGATGCATCCCCCTTTAACCACGCCATTAACTTTAACCATTGTCGAGAACGATTACGTTGGTGTAAGGAACGTATTGGTTGGTGTTACCAGCAAAAGTTCAGAGTAATGTTCTTCAATAAATCCCTATTCACAATGGCAAGTGATTCTGGCTACCCAGTTGGTGAGGAGGAAGAGGGGGACACGTCGTACACAACAATAGGTTCATGAACGTGATCAGTATGGACCGTACGCATCAGTGTGGGCAGGCATCATGCACAATGGCTTCACACTTCAAATCTTTGAACGGGGTAGTGTTACATAGCAGCGGTCTTGCAGAGAGATTTTTCTGGATCTTGTTTTTCTTATTAGGGGTGTGGTAGGACCAGACTTTCTGTTTATGGACTACAATGCGCAGTCACACAGGTGCGCTGAGGCATCAAACACACTAGAAAGTAAAGATACCGACCGTATGCAATGGCCTGTGTACTCCTCTGACCTAAATTCCTATTGATCCTCTTGGCAGACGTATTTCGCAAAGGACACTCCTTTTCTAAACCGTGTGTAAGTGCCGAAAACTGCCGTGAGAGAGGAGTGTGACAATATCCCCAAAGGACTTTTCGAGAGCATGAATATCAGAAATGCGCATTAGTATCTGAGATAATCACTCATCTTACTATTTTCTTTTAATCAAAAGACCCATTTTTCTTGGCCAATGAGCATCTTTTTTATTTTTTTATTTTATTATTTTTTGATACGTTGATATCTGAACAAATATTGCATATTAATAAATGCACAATGTCTCTACAAAATACATACTTAGTTTCATTACATCAATCAACGTCTGTTATTAACTATTCCGAAAAATGTGACTCTTCCTTAGCAATTGTCCAGTGTATTTAATGGAAGAAAAATACTAAATTAAGAGCATACGTTTTAAAAATTAATTTATTATTGTAAATTTTGATTTACGGTTACACTCTATGTTTTCATGCTTGAAAACTTCCAAAACATATAAGATAAAGTCACACAAAAATTTATAACAAATGAACATGCTAGTAAATAGTTACTCCGTAATATGGGGTAACTTAGATCAGCAAAAAAATTTTACAAATTCAATAAGAAGCTTATTTTACTTGATGATAAGGTAACAAGAGTTTAAAATAAATCTACCCTGTAAATACTAAAGGGAAAAAAATTTTATTACAGGAGTTTTAGATATGAAATAAATGTAAAAACTAAACAGGTTGTGTTATTTATCTTCGTAATCTCTGTGATTTCTATGGTTTAAAAGCCAACTAACACTGTTAAACGGTTAACCGTTAACATTCAAACTTTAAATAATATTGCTCCGGCCAGGTGGCAGAGTTGTCAGGGTACCAGACTGCAAAGCCAATAGTAGTTGGTTTGAATCCCGCTCGGGGCTTCTGTGGCAGTGTGACGTGGGTAATGTTGTTCATCTCCGTGACTCAGGCTTAAAGGAGCCCATTGGATAACATTAAATTAGCAACACTTCTGACATCTTCCGATAGAACGTAACAAAACACGTAAGCATAAAGAACGTAAAGGCACAGTGCCAGCCGTTCGAAAAATACAATGTTGTTAAATTTGACTTCTGAAATTTACTCAGCAAAAGTGGTAATACTCACGTGGTTTAAGTAACCCTGAATGACGGTAACTATGAAAATAAGAAATTAGATATCTCTAGCCGTACTCTCTCTGTGAATGTACGGAAAATGAAATATTTAAAAAACTTTTTTCTTTTTTTGGTACTGCCAGGGTAAAAATAGATAGGTAGCAGTATAGGGTTTGCAAGGATCACAATATATATTTTAATGCCTCATTTATGAAATTAGTTCTAAAAATTTTCATGCATAGTTATAGAAAAAGAACAAGAATTTTCAAAACTACACTTATTTTAACGGGAGTTATTTGAGAAACAGAACAAAAGAAAGTTAAAAAAAAAAAAGAAGAAAAAGCACTATTCAAAAGATGTATCAGAAAGATATAGCTTGTTAATGATGGTAGTACTCGCGCATATGCTATAAATTGTAAATAATGTTTGAGTTATGTAGGCAGATTGGAGCGCAAACAAGATCACTATGCGAAATCTGACTTGTATTATTTCTTCGATTCAATAATAGTTTATTGCCATGGCCAATAACCACAATCAACCCAGGTTAATCGAAATTAGAGGCCACTGATGCGATTCCATGCAGACCATGAGCGAATTGTATTCCTGTATGATCAACAGAACTATAATTTTTAACTATAGTTTCATAATTCCAGATAAACTTATGATTCAATTAATCATTCACGTAAAGACGCAATTCATTAATTCTGAATGTTAAATGTATAGAAATGAAAGTCAAAGAATCTGAGAAACGATGCAACAGTAGTTAAAGGTTAATAATTTACTGCGAATAGAAAGCTTGATTATAGAACAAAAAAAAACGTATAAACCAGCGAGTACAAATATTTGAAGAGCTGAATGGATGACACGAGTGAGAGACATTTTAGTAATTGAAGTTTATAAGTTATTCGTTCTTGTTTCGTCGCTTTTTATTATAGGAAGACATAACTCACCACATATATATGGTATGAGGTATATTTTTTTGACCCTTCCTCTTTAAAAAAAGGGAGGATTTT